GAGAGGGAAGGCCTTCGCTCTGGAATTAGGCACGGACGCGTATCGGTAGTTTAAAAGATTGTTTACTTACACCGAGATGGCAATGGTGTAGGCTGGAAAGCTTGATTAAGTTGCAGTTACAGACAGACACAACACAGACGGTCTCGTGGAGGTTGCTAGGCTCCACGGTGCAGAGCTCCGGATGCTCTGGGTGGACAGGCCACCAATGTAGAAATCGTAAATACGTCTTAAATTAGTCGCGCTTGAAGACGGGAAGAGGTGGGCGGTGGATCAGGCCGCCACGCTCCTCTGGATCTCACACAGGGTTTCTATTACCCTGCCGTGTACCCAGAGCCCCCACGAGATGGATGTGGAGTCCTCTTCGGCTTGGGCGGAAACTGCTCAAGCCTCTTATACGGCTAACAGGCCAATCGCTAGCCGCCACGTGTGAATAATTTAGCACTAGCCAATCACGGGGAACGAATTTGCATACCGGTGGCGGGAACTCTTTTGCACCGTGCATTCCTCTTGCAACTCGAGCAATGCACCCTGCAAAAGAAGCTGCAGAAAAGGCGGGAAACTGGTCCCTGCACCGGAGTTTCCTCTTGCTACAGGAAACTCCCGTGCAATGCTCTGCAACTTAACGTGGATAATTCTGATGCCGAAGCGCACACACACAATCATGCCTTTTGGGTCATGACATTCATGTCATAGAACAGGCTAAAAAGGCACAGTATAAGAGCATGTTTTGTAATCTGAATTGTCAAATGTCTTGCAGTGGCTAATAGTGATTGTGGCAAATGATTAAACATGGGAGGAATTAGTCTTAATAAAAGCAGGTCGGAGTTGTGGAATCTAGGATTTAAACACTGCACATTTTTGGGGAAGTCATTTGAGATATGGGACTTTGATTTGTCCTTTCTGAACCTATCTTATAGCTATGAAATTCAAAGACAGGTTTTTGAACCCTATCAGAAGTTTCAGTTGTGTTCAGCTTTGGTCCAGGCATATTTCACATATTAGTTTAAAGCTTTAGCATATGCCTCCTAATTTAGTTGCCAGTTTGCACTCTGAATCATATATGCCCAAAGAATAGCTCTGCTCAGAACCGCATTTTATAGCTTGTTATTTCATCCTGTTGAATGGAGTAGCACGGGGCAATGCTTTGCTTAAGCATTTGTACTTTTAGTGCATTCTAGTGCTTCGCCTGAAAGAAGCCATGCAACTGCCAAGTAGTGACAGCTAATGGAAAATCTGTCATTCACCCATGACTGCAGCAGATGGACATAGGTTCTATTCTCTGTATTTCATCTAATGTACGTGGTTAGCTGACAGTTGTCATCTCTGTTTATGTGTAACTACAGAACATAAACTTTAAAGATTAAGTTAGCAATGAACTTAGTCTCTATAAAGATTAAGTTAGCAAAAGTTAGCAATATAAATTGGCCACCTCCCTTATTTATTATTCTTACCAGAAGCAAGTATTCTATAATAAAAATCTGAACTCAACAGTAAAAGATTTTATCAGGATGTATTTTCATTTGCCTTAATTGTAGTAATCACCACAGATTTTAAATTAAGGAGGCACCATTATGAGTCTGGCCTCCGGCATAACACAGGCCATTGAATTTCACCCAGTAGCTCCTGCATTGAGTCTAACTTCTGGCAGAGCTACAGTATATCTTTTAGAAATATGTTGAAGACTAGGACTAGGTCAATCTAAGTGCCATTCTGTACAGATGTTTGGGGAGGTTAGATCGAACAAAAATGACTAGCCTGATCTTAGGTCACCTGAGGTGTGCTGAGATTGGGCATGACTTATTCTGATCTACTGAAAATCTGTACACATTCAGAGTGCAGCCCAAAGCCTGGAAAGTCCCAGCTGCTCACCCTACCCCCAAAGCTGTACTGTTCCTACCCCCAGCCCCAGACCTGACTGACTGAACTATTTTCATCCCCCTAGAGACCCACCAGTCCCCTGTGCAGGCCTGCCAGCCCCCCCAATCCCACTTGCCCTCAGCCCACCCCAATTTAGATCATGTTCCTCCCAGCACCAGCCAACATGTGCACAAACAGCCTATGATCTATGATCATGCAGCTCAACACAAGCCATATGATCATAGATTTGGTCCCAGAAATGTCTGCATGCACCCTAAGAATATTGCATTAGTGCCATTCGATTACTGCATAATTATTGAGATACTAAATGATGGATAGAACTGCTACCCATGACGTTTCTTGCCCTTGTTATGTTTCTGATCACATTCTTTTAACATAACCTGAAGTGCTAGAAATTTTATTATAAGCCTGATCAAAGGGCTGCGTATAACAGTCTTGTCCCTTTCACAGTATATGTAGATAGCTCCCATTCATACTGACAGACATTACACTATGCAGGACTGATGATATACTCCAGATTATTGCAGGATGGAAAGCTGCTGTTTTAAGTAAGGATAGACCAACTTTCCATGTCAAAGGACTTGGTGACAATTTGCCAGGCCCTTGTGGGGGCTTTCCCTAATTTTCCTATTTATAAAATTGCATGTGTTCACGGTATTGACATAGGAATGAAAGGACTGTCAACTACTGGCAGAGTGGATGGTGAAGGGGGGAGTGTGAACATGGCATAGTCACAGTTTTCCACGCCTTGAAGTTCCAAGTTGAGAAGTTCTGATTCAGAGCCTGCTCTCCTCCCCCTATCTACCATGTTCAGTACCTGCTGATGGATCTTTCCTTTGTGAATTTGCCTCATCCCCTTTTGAGCTGGGTTAAACTATCAACTGTCACAACATTTTGGGGCAATGAGTTCCTCAAGATAATTTGTGTGTAAAAAAGATCTTCCTTTTGTTAGTTTTAAATCTATTATCTAATAGTTTCATTTTATGTCTCTCAATTCTAGTATTTTGAGAGATGGTAAATAATAAATCCCTATTTACTTTCTCTGCATCACTAAATTTTGCCTACACTGGTGTCCTTCTTGATAATGAAATATAAAAATGTTTATTATTTTTCGCCAGCAACACAAACCTATAGCTGATTACTTTTGTCCTAGCTCTGCAATTTTTGGGAGTAGATGGATGGCCCCACAACCTGTATATTTTAGGAGTGCCCTAAATTTAGGCTACCCTGGGGGTATTGGGCAACCCTACTTTATTCTGATTCTGATTCTTTATTCTGAGTTAGATACTTTATTCTGATTATTTATACTGAGTCAGATAGGCTGATTATTGTCAAGTGGTAAAACAGCTAATGGGAGATACTATTATAGTCAATTAGATTCTAGCACACCCATGCCCTATTTTCAAGTATACAGGCTGAATAAATGCATAACAAACAGGTCTGTAATTTTTCCAAGGAACATCTGGGTATTAAAATATATTGTTTTTCATAATATCAATTCTGTTTCATGGAGAAAGAAGTGAAATTTCATGTCTTTTGACAATGAACTTAAAGGCTTCACTGGGTACAATTTAAACAACTGGCTTGCACTAGGTGTCAGGTTTCATTTTACATTTCAGCTGGATGTAATCTTCTTGTAAAGTATTTCATTGAGCTATATGATTTGTTTAGATTGCAGACTTCCTCAGAGTTCCTGTGTTCAAAGGAACAGCTACTTTATTTTGCTGCTTATCTTATATGAGCTACTCTAGTGATGCAGATGGAATAAGCAGGATCTTAAGGACTGTCCAATGAACCAGTACCACAGATCACACTCAGATCTTCAAACCTTTCACCCACCCAAACGTAGGGAAAAGTGAATCATTGTTCTGGATTGTGTAAAGTGGGGATTGGCAACCCCAGGCACATGTGCCAATTAGTGGCACGTGGAGACATTTTCCCCAGCACTCAGCGGGTGTGCGAGGACATGGTCTTTAAAAAATGTTTAAGCTGCTGCTTTGGGAGCAGCACAGGTACCAGGGGTGGAGTCAGGAGAACACGGGGACACAGTCTGTGTTCTTCTGGCCCTGTCCCCTGTCCCTGGGCTGCGCTCTTCAGCCCAGCCCAGCCCAGCCCCTGGACGGGAGCTGCCAGGGGCGCAGGGTTAGGGCCCAGGCCTGGCAGGCGCTGTGCAGGGTTGCAGCACTGGAGGCTCCCAGAGGGTGGGTGAGCCCTAGGCCCAGGAACATGGGTGCCCCATCCCACCGCGGTGGGGGCAGCACTGGAGTGCTGAGCATCAGAGCCAGATGCTCAGGGCAGGGTCTGGACGGCGTGGGCAGAAGCAGGTGCTTGGGGAGGCACTGCCGGCAGCAAAGGCAGGGGCTGAGCGGGAAGCGGGGCAGCCCCAGGGCTCCATGGTCTCAGGCCGCAGCAGGGAGGCAGGGACGCCCAGCAGCACCCCAGGTGGAGCTCAGCCCACTCAGCTCCATGGGGATGGGGCACAGCCACCCTACCCACGAGGGGACGCTGTCTGGCCAGGGTAGGATGCCAGGCCCAGGGGTCTCCAGCTCTGGGCTCGGCCTCCCTGCACACCGGGCACAGCACGAGCAGGGCGGAGCCACCCCCAGTGCAATGGCCTGGCCATGGGAGCTCCCAAGAACAGCCACCGTGCCTGCCCTGGCCTGCCTGGGCCCTGGCCTCGCCCACCAGCAGCTCCCCTCAACGGGCTGGGGCTGTGCAGGGTCAGTGTACTGCAGGCTCCCGGCCAGCTCGGTCCCAAGCACCACATGCAGCTGTTCCCAGAGCATGGCGGGCTCTGCCTCGCTCGCTCGTGCTGTGCTTGGCGCATGTAGAGACCAAGCCAGGTTAACCCCTCGAGCCTGTCATCCTGCCTCAGCCAGGCAGCATCTCCTCACAGGCAGGACAGGGCAGCTGCACCCTATCCCCGTGGAGCTGTGCGGGCCTGACTGGGCCCCACCTCAGGTGCCGCTGGGCTTACCCACTGTGGCCCAAGTCTGCAGAGCCCTGGGGCAGCCTCCCACCTCCCACCTGGCCCCTGCTGTCCTCTGGCTGCTGCCTTCCCAAGGGTCTGGCCAAGCAGGCCTGCCCACAGCACCTTCCCCCACGCTTACTTCTCCCTGCACTGCCTAGACCCTACCCCAAGTGCCCGGCTCCAGCATTTGGAGCCCCGGTGCTACCCCCACCCCGGTGGAACAGGGTTTCTGTCTGCCCGAGCCCCAGCTAGGCCCGGGCTCCCCCTCTCTGGGACCGTCGGGGAGGCCTGAGTGCCCAGGCCTTGGCGGCTGCTGCTGACTGGTTGCTGCCTTCCCTCCCCCTGGACCAGCAGGCCAAAGCCACAGCCGGTAGCGGTGGAAGACATGGGCAGCGAGGGACGCATCCTCTTTCTCTTTCCATTTTTTTCTCTTTTTCTTTCTCTCTCTTCTCTTTCTCTTTTCTTTTCTGCTCACTCCTCTTTTTCTTTTTTCTCCCCTTTTTCTCTCTTCTCTTCCTTTTTCTCCCTTCTCTTTTTCTCTCTCTCCTCTATTTTGTCTTCTTTTTCTCTTTTTCTTTTTTGTTCTTTACCTCTTTCGTTTTTCTGTCTTTCTCATCTCGTTTTCTTTTTTCTCTTTCCCATTCCCTTTTTTTCTCTCTCTCCTCCTTTTCTTGTCTTTCTCTTTCTCTGTTTTTTCCCTCTCTCATCACAACATGCTTAACAAAAAAGAATACACAAGAACAAAGGTAGCGTATGAAGTTTTATTTTTTGTCACCAGATTTAGAATGCTGAAAAAGCCTGGTATTTACCAAAAAAGCAATGTTTATGATGATTAACTATATTAATATGCAGTGTGTCCTGCCATGTAGCCCCTGCCCTAGTTTTGTTTTTCTAGCATGCTGGCACTCCAGCACCTTCCAAGGTAGACATTGCGGGTTTTTTGGCACTCTGGCCAAAAATGTTACCTACCCATGGTGTAAAGAGTCTGCAGAGATTTGGAAGCTGGCCTTCACCAGGAGATACGCCGCTTCCCCTAGCACACATGCAGCTGGCATTATTTTCAATGTCCGCAACCTTAGAGAAGAGCCCCTGATACCAGAGTTCTTCTGATGACCTAGCCAGGCTTGAATGGCTGAAAGACTGCTGGGTCCCAAGCTAGAGAAGCCTTCAGCCTTCAGCCCTGGCATGCCTAGAGAAGGAGAAAGAAGCGGTCTCCTCTTGTCCTGAGTCAAGCTCAGCACTGCCACAAAAATAAATTAGTGTTTTTGAGGTGGAGGGGTCAGTTTTATAATGGATTCAACTTGCAATTTAGCCTTTACATTCAAATACCCACCATGTTTCCACACACCAAGAAAAGTCCTGAAATGCTTCCTGCTGTGCCTATAAATACTATGTGCAATCCAAGAGAATGGTTCAGCTTTATTGTAAAAGATGGTTAACACTAATGAGTTTTATTTCTACTTCTTTACAAGCTGTGACTTGTCTATCAGGCATGTTGCAGTATATGAGTGTATGTAGTCAGAACATTGGCAATATATATATATATATATATATATATATTTAAATTACTGTGTTGTCTTTCTAGGGGTGATGAAGAATGGAAAGAATGTCCTGATTATGTAACTGCTGGAGAAAACAGCTGTTATTTCAATACATCTTACACCTCTGTTTGGATACCTTATTGTGTTAAACTTGCCAATGAAAATAAAGTGTTTGATGAGAAATGCTTCAGTGTTGATGAAATAGGTAAATTTTTTCATGTATTTTAAGCTGCATTTTTTTTTCCTGGTGTATAGATTTTGTTTACTGTGCCTTTTTGCATTAATTTTGGAGGTCTGTATATTTAAATTCTCAGTGCAGTAAGATTAGCCTTAAATGCAATCTGCAAAATGGGACAGCATTAGGAAATACTATCCAGGTTGGAAGAATACATGCGTGATAAAGGCTGATGTGTAGCTTCTTTATAAGATGCATTAGGAAATGATTCAACGAGTCAATGAGCTCCCTTTTCTGGTGTAAAATACCACTGCTTTCTCAAGTATGTTGAAATGTATCAGTATGAAGCCCTCATGCTGAAGCATCAGCAATAGATAATGCATATTCATGTTCTACATGAGCAAGAAGGTTGTCTCAAAGCTGCAAATTTTGGTTGCTTGATTGGTTCCAAATTGGATTAAGAGATAATAGGATCATTACAGCATCATTTGTACTCTGAAGCAATAGAGTTCTTAATTTAGTTTTTGTGAAGACTATGACCTTTTCTGAAATAAATTAACCACTTCTAAATTTTGGGCAACCCGTGTCTCTTACTATGCAGTTGAATGGTTTGTTAGTCTGTTGGCTTCAAAACTGCACTTCATTGCCATCCAAAGGCCTTAGACTTATCCTCACCAGGAGGTCAAAGTAGCATATGAATCTTACACATGACTTTAATTACAGCCACCTCAATTAAGTTGATTACAATTATAGCAGCCTAGGATTGGGGCAACATACAAAGTGCATTATGTACCCTCTGTAAGTGTAGTATTTCCTGGCTGTAGGTTCATATTCATTGCAAATTGTCATGTACATAGAAAGGACACTGTAGTACTATTCCAAAATTGATGTTAACAAGAATCAACATATGTGGGCTGCCCTGTAGTTCAGTTAATAAATAAAACACATTTTACAACAAGCTTTGCATAACAGTCCTGGGAGTGAGAAGTGGTGGAAATGTGGGAAGCAGGGGGATCCTTTGTGTTCTGGAGCAGTGAAAAACTCATCTGTTTGAGAATAAATTATGAGAAAGTCTGAAGTTCTCTGTGCAGACCAAAAACAGAACTGCTGCAATGCCATCAGGAATTTTAGTTGAGATTATGAAAAAACAGATTTAAACTGTAATGTTCTGTGAATGATCCTGGAGTCCCAGCACAGGAAAAACTCCCATGGATTTCAGCCTAACAAGGACAGTTTTATTTTATTTGTTTTGGGGTTTTTTTCATTTCCTTTCAAATGCACATTTCAGCAAAAATTAGCTATAAAACACAGGTAGAATAAGTCCATTGACTATAAAGAACAAATGGGTGGTAGCATTAGCATTAACTTTGGGAACAATTTTTGGTCCAGAATTTCAAAATTCTGGAACATAAATCTGATTTTTCCAAAATAAATGCATTGTCCTGACCCCTGTATAACCAATATATGTTTTTATTATTGATTTAACTGAGGCCAGGGTTTCACCCTGGAATCAGCAGGTTTGGGCCCTCTAAGTTTCATGTTGAAAATGTCTTCCTCAAATTAAACATGCCTTTCTTGTATCAACTCTTTAGTAATGTTGATGATAACTTTTAGGTTTAGACTGTAATTGCCATAAATGAAATCAGGAACAGTGTTTAGGAAGAATACTGGTTTCAAGCTGAGAACTGGCTATTTTATTTAAACAAACATTCTGTTTATACAACAGTACTACCTGATCCCCCTATTAATCTCAACTGGACTCTACTTAACATCAGCCTAACTGGGATCCATGTGGACATTCAAGTAAGATGGGAGCCACCACCAACAGCAGACGTTCGTAAGGGGTGGGTTACCCTGGAGTATGAGCTGCAGTACAAAGAAGTAAATGAGACAAAATGGAAGGAGGTATGAAGGACATTTTTGTTATGTAATAATTATAATACCTTAGGGCACGGGTGGCCAACCTACTGCATGCATGCCACAAATGGCGCAGGAAACTTCGGTGTGTGGCACACGCAACCCAGGTGCCTCTATTTCCAGCTTTTAAGGCACAAACTCTATCAGGTACATGTCTAGGGGGTGGGAATGAAAGTGGCACTTCAGGAGGGTTGGGGCTTAACTTGTGGCATGTTAGTCAAAAAGGTTGGCTACCACTGCCTCAAGGCTTCTCTTGTGCCTAACTTTCTCAGGTGTCGGGAGCATCTATTAATTAAAGCACATTACACCTTCATATCAAGGCAGACGTTCTAGACTAAAGTTGCCTTACATTTAGAGGTGCACCGATAGATCAGTCCCATATAGTATCAGCACCGATAAAAGGAAAATTGACATTATCGGCAATCAGCTTTTTTTTGGCTGACGTGGCCAGTAATGTTGCCAATAAATGCCATGTGCATGTGTGCAGCCACAGCACCACACACAGGTGCCCGGAGTGCAGCCCCATAGCGTGGAAAGCAGCGTCCAGCTGGTAAGTCTGTTGTGGGGGTGGGGGCGTGAGGGAAGGAAGGATCTCTCGAACATATTTAAACAACCTTTGCAGCAACAGGATATTGAGCACTGTGGTCCACCTGCTTTGCCTGTGGCAGGTTAAGCTGTTAAGTCTTGTGTTGTGTCAAGGTTAACTGTGTAGTTTTGCTAAGAGGTTAGACAGTGCATTTGTATAGGATGGTTTGGATAGGGACAATCCTGTCCCAGGCAGGGCACTGAACTAGATGACTCTCAAGGTCCCTTCCAGGCCTACTTCTCTATGATTTTGTGATTCACATAGGGTGTTTACCATGCTTTAATAAATGCACGTTAGCTTGAACACTTTTGTTTGATTCTCGTTAGCTTTGAGTGTCCCTGTGCAAGTAGGTCCTCGATCACTCAGTATATAATTTTAATCTGAACTGCAGGTTTTTCTCCTGTGATATTCTCTGTTCTGTTCAGCAATACCATAAGAGCTTCAAGCACCACAATGTAGTGATACTTGGGGTCTAGGACATAACAGGTTTGCGGCAGTATAAAATAAGAGCGTACAGACAATGTAAACTCCTATACCAGTTTAACATCATACAATACAAAGGAAAGAAAAGAGGTAAAATACACTGATGTAAATTATACAGGTGTAAGTGCCATGTGACCACAGTTATCCCTGAATAGTGGTTTGTTCATTGCAAACAGGGTGTTGTTACCTGCTCTCCAGCCATCTGCATTGAGGCATTGTTGAAGCACCTACTGCAGCAAGTCTGAGATAACAAGTTGTGTTTCTCCATTAGATAATTATGTATTGGTCTACAATAACATAATGACATCAATTACACCAATGTATCATGTGCCCAGGCCTATAGATAAGCAAGATAATGTAGCTGTTTAGATGGTGAGGGAGTGCTTACAACAAACTACAGTAAAATCAGCTGAGGAATAGTATTAATAAATCCCCCTAACTCTTTTTTACAATGGTATGGGGAACACACACAATTAAAAAATTGACAACAATATTTAAAGCATCAATCTTACAGATGAAAAAGAGAAGAAACTGAAGAAAATTGATGGTCACCTTAAGCTTTAGGTAATGCAGTCTCATGCCCCATGAGCTTTATTTGTGCGTCAGGATTGTTGGTTGTAGCTGTGTTGCTCTAAGGACATAAGCAGTCAAGGTTCTTTGGGTAAATGTGATATCTTTTATTAGACCAACTAAATAGTTGGAAAAATAGTTGGAAAAATGGTTCTTTGCAAGCATTTGGGCTCAAACACCTTTCTTCAAGCATAGGGTGAATCTGTCGGGGTTATGATTCTCCCTGTGCTCGAAGAAGGGTGTTTGTGCCCAAAAGCTTGCGAAGAACAATTATTCAAACTATTTACTTGGTCTAATAAACGATATCACATCTACCCAAAGTACCTTGTCTGCCTTGTTCATGCATCAGCAACCTTAGTAATTACAGAGTACTTTTGAAAACAGCTTTCTCAGGAAAACAAAGATTTGAAGCTCCTGACTTTAGAACTTTTAGTAAGAAAACAGGTAGGCTATCCATGACAAATTGTTGTTGCTTAAAGAAAATAGTTCTACAGATCCTATATCATTGTTCTTTTTGTACTATGTGATGATTATTATTTGCACTAATGGGTACTTGGCTTTTGAGGCACAAAAGTAACAAGGTTCTTTCTATGACAGTGAAATATGGAAGAGTGAAATCCTAGCCTGAGTCAAGTCAGTGGCAACATTTATACTGACATCAGAAGAGTTAAGATATTACTTCTGATATTTTTTGCAAAAAATGTCTACTGATATTTGTGTCACGGGGATGTTTGACACTGAACATTCAGTTGAGATCTGTCTTTCCAATATTAAATTACCTATTGCATGAGATTATGCTCTGGATAAAGTCCATTGTAGAATATACCATAATGTACCAGGTACTTTTGCACTTGTAATAGTGGTATATAAAGAATTCTAGCATTTTACAAGTTAAATTTGTATCTGATCATACTCCAGGCATATCAGGATGAGCTTGTCTGATTTTTCTGGTGTACATCAAGTACATTTCTTCCAGTCTGTCTCCCACTTCCATTGAAAACCATTAATTGATACCTTGAAATAATACTATGATTAAGCATCAACTCATGAATGTTCCAAATGTAATGCATAGTTTTAGCAAAACCAAAATTATTTTCAGTAAGACTTTTTTTTTAATTCCAAATACTGAATCTTTTGCCTCATCTTCCATGGCACACAGCAAAATTAAACTGGACATAAAATTTAATTAGGCAATAAAGAATGTGAAAACTTTTTCACATTCAAAACTTTGTGAAAAAGTTTTGAATGTGAAAACTTTTATAACCAGTCAGTTTGAACACAGACAGTACATTGGTTTTGAATTATTTCCTGTGGAGTGACTTTTTATTTGTGTTACAGTACCATAAAAAGATTTCCCATAATGTTCATTAAAACAGAATTCTAGTCTGTCTTTATGAACATTTCCATCAACAATAAAAATAGTAGGTTTTTTTCCTGTTTAACAAAGAAGTATGGGTTTTTTTCAAATACAGGGAAAACTGTTCCCTGATGTGCAAGCTAAAATATAACTAAATTTGACCTACTGGTAATACACTAAGGAATAATGATCAACAAAGGAGGGGTGGAAGACCTGGAAGGATAAAGATTTACTGGGATAGACTTAATTTTATGTAGGTTTTCTTCAGCCTTACTTTTTAAGGATAATTTATTTTACCGTTGATTTCACTAGGTTTAGAATTTCAGCTGCTGCATTTATAAAAATCCTTCAGGATGACACCTGAATGGATTACACTCTTTGCTGTACTATTCTCCACTACTGTAGTGATGCAGCACATATAGATCAATATGTACCAATGCAGATTTATAGTTAATATTTAACAGAGAATTTTCCAAGGCCTGGAATATCTTCCAAAATCTATTACAGATTTTAAGGGTTATTGTTCCAATTTAGTTATATTTGGACTTTTAGGGAGACATACATTCTTCCTAAATAAGTGGATTTTGTAAGATGTACAATGAATTTGGCGTGGTTTTGCACAGAAAACATTTTAGTTCATAACATTGGTGCTGCAGAGACTTGTTTCCAGGGCTTCCATGTTACTTTAGCAAGATTGTCATTGGGAAGCCAGTAGAACAGTTTTGAAACATTAAAAGGGCTTACAGCATGACGTGTGCCGTATGTAACATAAAGGCTCCAGGTGAGTAAAAATGCCTGCAGATGTTTACATTTGAACCAACAAGAAATTGGCAACCAAAAACCAGTCAACTAAGCATCCATCATTTTATCTTTGCAGCTAGAACCCGTGTGCTCCACAACAGTTCCATTGTACTCTCTGAAGATGGGACGAGATTATGAGATACGAATCCGATCAAGGCAACGGACTTCTGAAAAATTTGGGGAGTTCAGTGAAACCCTTTCTGTGTCTTTTTCTATGGCTAGTGAAGCAGTTCTGTGTGCTGAAGGTGAGCGAGGACAAAGAAGTCTACAATGAAATGAGGATATAACCATTGTTTTGCTTGCCATTGCTTTGCTTGGTATATATCACTTGGCTACACTAGGTGCTCTGGTGACTGCAGTCCAGTCTCCTTGGCTAGGCTGGTTCTCTGGCACTGCAAAAGCTGTTTGTATTGTGGAATAAGATTAAAAAGTTCAAAAACAAACTCAACAGAGCTGCTTCCCAACTTGGCAGAAATCAAAACAGTTAATTTTAGGATTATAAAAAACAACTTCTGTCGTCCATGCCATACATGCCAAAGTGAGGACAATCACATATCACGTCAGGGAATACACTGAACACAGCAGGGATGAGGAACAGAAGTTCCCATTTCCATGTATGTTTTTACATGTGCGGCCAAATGCACTGAAAAGATGGTGTGCCTCCTTCTTGGGGTCCCAGAGATCGTCCAGATAGTGGCTTCCTCACTCCCACTTTCCTCCCAGTTTTAAAAGAGAGCTTTTTAAAAAGAGAAAGAAATAATGGCTGAAGGGAGCCATCCCTTTTCTTTCTTTCTGAAATTAAGGCAGAGCTTTTTCAGGCCTGAGCTGCAGATTTAGTAACTCTTCCAAATTTGGTGTCATTGACCCTTTAATAAGCTATTTTATTCACTTTTCAAAGTCATTAAGTAGCCCAATTCTGAACCTTTCAAATACAGATTCCCAATGATACTTCCTTTCGCTTCTTTTATCACCGTTTTTCATTTCAAGTTCACACAAGCTCTTAGCCAAGTTCTGTCCATGTGGCATTGTTCTTTCTGGCCAAGGCAAATTGAGTTAAAATTTCAAGTAAGATTTGCATCTAAGCACAATATCAAAGAATATTATGAGCTTCCAAATACATTGTACTAATTGAGTTCCTTTCAGCCCTATTGGTCCATATACCTGCATCCCTCTCACTTCAGTGATGATCCAAGTTGGTGTAAAGGAATTTGTGCATGGATGAGTTGGCATGACTGGGACATGAATTTGTAATTTTCTGCTTAGGAACAAAATGAAAAACTCAGAAGCAATCACAAATGTGTCTGACATGATTTATTCTTCTTTATTTGGCATTTCTCCAGATAGAACGTAGACTTCAGGCTGAAATTTTTAGCCTTAAGCTAGGCACTGAAATACACAGGTAGACACCTGATTTTTCAAAGAAGTTGCACATCTCTAGGTCCCACTTACTTCAGTGAGACTTTTGGGAGTTCCATGCATTTTAGAATGGGGCCTCTTTTTTCACTGGCTCTAGATGGATTGAGGTACCTATTAAGTGCACAAGTTAAAAAAAGTTGGCCTAAGAATAAAAAAGCTGAGCTATTAACAGAGCAGGAAGACTGATGCCTAAAAATACTTTTGTCAAGAAAGTTTGTATTTCTGTGCATATATAGTATTTTACAACTATAGATAATATTTCTTAGCCATAAAAATGTGTGAGGTCTGAAAGACAAGGACTCTTAGGGCTGCAGCCAGAACAGATTTCTGTGCATTTTGTACTCTCCAGTCACAGCTTCAGTATAATGGTGACGTCATTATTTAAGAAGCATAGCATTTCACTCGTCAGCTTTTTCTCTTCCCTATTCTACAACAGTACTAAAGAGGCTCAAATCTCTCCTTGCATGCAGTGATCTGAGGCAGAAAAAAGAAGGAAAAAGCCCTGTTCCCAGATTAACTTGGCATTGCTCAGAGTACAAGTGAATGTCTTCCTCTTGCAGAAAGTAGTGTACACATATGGGCATGGTTTCCAAGGAAAGAAGTATGGCTTGCCTATGGTCTGGCATAAGATGCTGTTACCAACAATGAGAGTTCTGTTTTCATTGAACGAAGCAGTAAAATGTGCCTTCAGCAGGGTTTGCTGGCAGTAATACAGATATCATGCTCTGAGAAGACATGATATCTCCCTCCTGGGAGTATTTCCATCCTTCTGAGTATAAATACTGCTTTTGCAGCCCCTGCTGTCTTTGGCAGGCTTTGGCTTTTTATTGGATTATTTCAGTTTATTTTGCAATGAGTCTAAGTAGATTTATGACATGTAATATTAAAACTTGTACAGTTGGAAGGACACTTTTACCTTGATTTCAGCACCGAATTTTTAGATTTAAGTGGCCAAAAAGTCCATAACATGGATAACAACTCCTTTGGCATAGGAAAGGGAAGTTGCCTTTAAGGTTACAGCAGAGCTTTGCATAGATTCCTGCCAGTATGATTTTGCTATGTTATTTCAGAAATCCAGTTTCCATGGCTCTTCATTGTCATCTTTGGAACATGTGGGCTAGTGGTGGTGATGTTCTTAATTCTGTTCTCTAAACAAAGGTAAATTTGTTTAATTTCCTTGATTTTCTTAGGTGTTAATGAGTGACATTATTTAATCAAATCATACATTCATGCTGCCTTTCTGTAAAGGACTTTTAAGTCTTATATTAAATTGACAGTCCTTGCTCAAATCTGCTGTTAACAGGCTTATATAAATGCATGTTTACATAAACAGCAACATTTTAATTTTTTTCTGATTTAAATGCTTCCAGGCAGCCAGCCAGCAGCAAAAAATTGCAGCAGACAAGATCTAGCAGTTAACTATGGGATAAGGAAGCCAATTTCAGAATCTGAAACTGTCTGATCTGGAAAAAACTCTCTGGATTCTAAGGGCATTTTTACACATGCAAGCACTGCAGCGCTGGGCACTTTGAAAAGCATCCGGCACTGCAACACTGACAGTTGTATAAGTGGCAAAATGTGCGTCAGTGCTGAGAAAATGGTGGCAGCTTGCTTTTGAACTAAAACACATAGAAGGTGCTTTAGTTCAAAAGTGCACCACCACCATTTTCTGCACGCTGACGCTCATTTCACCACTTAAGTAATTGCATGTGACACAGCATTGCTCACATCAGCTCATGTGCAGAGCAGACTTGATCCATCGCTTCAGAGGAGACTCGATTAATCTGCAATATTTTGTGAGACAAAAAAGTATGTGTATAAATGCCCCTTGATGCTTTATTAAGTACAGATTTTAGAAGACTTAGAATGTAAGGAAAGAGGCAAAAATAAAAGGAGCCTTTTCCTTGAGATTTTTTTAATGGCAGCTTAAACTTGGGTTGAATCTGAATTTTTTATTTGTCTGGAACAATGGGGACCTATCATTGTGACTTTCTCCGTAAGACAACTTAATTACCAGCCTTTTTTTTTTAAGCATAGTGAAAATTTTTACACAATATCCAAGATGAAGCAGAAACCCACCAGGCGGTTTATAAAGCTCATTCATTGTAATAAACATTGTGTATGAATTTCTACAGTCTAGTTTCATCATATTGATGACTCCTACTCTTTGCAGGTTCCAAAAATCATTCCCTTGATGCTGTTGACTAGAGCTGGGCAATTGACAGTGCATTGTCAATTTGGCTAATTTAGCCCTTCTTACTACTTACAGATTTTGTGTAACTAGTTTTTCCATGTTTGTTCAAATGTATCATGCAAGCCACTTAAAACCTAGCTAAAAGCTGACCACAGTGCATAAATACCTTTTAGAATCTGACCCCTTACCTCCATAATAAAATCCAGAAACCCAAGTTGAGAAGCATAGATTCCCTTTACAACATACAGGGAGAATTAGGTGCTTCAGAAAGAACCGGTACACTGAGCAGAGAGACCCCTCGAGGTAGACAGTATCCCGACATAAGGATGTCTTAAGTCCCACCCTTCTCCAGGTCTTAGGTGTCCTACTCAAGGTGATTCTTCACTCGGGATCCACACTCCTGAAAATTGTCCTGGAGCTACTTTCTTTAAAAAACCTAGCAACTGATGGTGACTGTCCCTTTTATACAGGAGGCTACTGGTTTGAGCACTCTCCCTTACCTCTTCTTACCAGGATCTTTTAAATCCCTAACCGCCAGGGCACAGGCTATTCTAGGTCAGAACACTCTTCCCCACTCCTGTTGAAGCTGTGCCACTGTGCAGAAAGGAATGCAACATTTATTGGGCTAGAAAAAGTGTGTGTGTCTTTAGTTTTGTTGTTAGGGCACTTAGCCAGCTGGAGTCTGAGCTTCAGTCCCTGCTCTAAGGATTGTGTCTGTATTTTCTCCAATGATTGCTTCATGTAAAAGGCATAAACAGCCCTGGGAAGGGGGTATCCTGACCGTTATTCCAGGTGAAGCCCTACCCATTTTTCTGCACAAGAGCACAACTTAAGCAGAAGGGATAAAGAGTATTTTCACCAAGTATAGCCTCTAGATTCGTGGTAGGGCTCTCTTACAAAGTCAGACATGTGGGTCTAGAGCAGTGATGTCAATCGCACCCTAGCCCAATCTGGCCAGGCACTGCTCTGATACAGCCACATGCCACCCCAATCAACTGCCCCTATCCAGCAGTGCTGCCCCAATCCTGCACTGGCCCAATCCCATGCGCCCAGATCTGGCCATTCACTGGCACGATTGGGCATGTAGGACTATGCTATTTGGCCCACAGGGCTCCCCAGTGGTCTGGAAATTTGGCAACAGAGGAGCAGCAATTAAAACTGCTACTGCTCCTCACCGCCTAATTCCCAGACCCATGCAGAGCCCCATGGGCCAGATGACATGGCTCCATGAGCTGGATTTGGCCCACGGGCAAAGGCACGAGCACCCCTGATGTAGAGGCAATTGAACCTGGCTCTACCATGTTGAGGGTAAGTGCTCTAAATCACTATGCAAAAGAAAGGGACCTCTTCTAGCTGTATTTTAAAATAAAATGGTAATTGCCATTGCTTGCCCCTGTAGATGCTGTGAGAACACCCACCAGTAATAGGGGGAGTAACTCCAGCTGGCTCAGTCAGACATAGGCATGCTGAGTATGCTTAGCCAAACACTGCCAAAACTGAGGTGTTTCTGTGCATGTCCAGAAGCAGGACTTCAGACACCTGCTGGACCTTCAAATAGGCAAATAGACATACCTGTGCTATTCAAGGCACCTCCAGAGTTAAGTAGCAACTGAGCAGGTGTTTTCAGGACTGGGATTTTAGACTTAGGTGTCTGCATTTCATTTAAGCTTTACTGTAACCTAAATCTTTTCATGGCAAGCATCAATGAAGTACTGGCTATCGTCCTGTTATACATGAGCTTTGAAACAGAAACTTTGAAAAACACATTAAGCTAGAGCCAGTACTTCATCCATTCACTGACCTATAGGACAAGGAAATGGGCGCATTATACAAAAAGAAGACCAGCTTTTCCCCTCATGGCCACACTAAACATGTTTTTGCAACAGAGGAAAACACAAGGAAGGGGTTGTATGCATGCCGCTATTAAAGAAAAGCCTGTATTTTCCCAAAACACAAGATACTGTTCAGAATTAAGGAGGGGTTCCCCTCATATTGACTACATTTACCATTGTGTAAAGGACAAGTGCAAGAACTATGTATATCCAATTTAATCTTGTACAAGCAGTGTGCTGGCTTTCATCCCACAAGGATTATCTCCAGACTGTTGTCATGGAAATTATTTATTCCATCGATGTCTGTTTAATGACTGGGAAAATAGAGGCTTTTGTAGCGAGTCTTAATTTGAACTTAACCTTTTGCAGTAATGAATCTGCATTTTTTGTTTATCAGGCCTAAAACAATTTCCTTTCTTTCACCACCTCCCCCTTTCCAATCCCCTATTTCTTATTTAACTTATGCAAGACCTTATCCCAGAAGACACTTTAGGAAAGTCGCTTTGTATATTGAGTAATCCATGCTGACTCATATAAGGTTATTTTTTTTAATTATACAAGAGGGACACTATACATATTTTTCCTAGAATTTACTCAAGACCTATTTTTCTGTGAAGTGTAAACTATTGAAAACTAGAGTCCAAATGTGAGAGCTGTACACAAATCTAGTTGGTTGTAACCAGCCAGATTTCAGAAAACCTGTTTCTTATTTTAAATGAGAGTAGTAAACAGCCATTTTCCCCTTCATTATTACTTTGAAATTTCCATTGTGTTAAACCCCTTAAATAAATGTAAAGAAAAGGAATGCTAAGACTTTTGAGTTCATTTTTCTGAACTCAAAAAAGAGCATTTTAAATTACTTGGAATTAAAATGCTGTGTTTCATTTTTTTTCAAGGTTAAAAATGCTGATTCTCCCTCCAATTCCAGCTCCAAAGATTAAAGGGATTGATCCAGACCTGTTGAAGGTAATTTTATTTCATGGTATAATATAACTCTTCAGAGCAGATATAATTACAGTAGTGATTGATGAAAAGTATTCTCCCATGAAGAGGGATTTTGCAGGAAAACGTCATCACTAGAGGTGCTTAATATTAGGAAAGATGCCAGAGTGTAACAAAACACCCTTTATAACTGGTACCATTACAGCAGCATATTCCTTGGATGAATGCATTACACATGAACATCAGAATGGCCCCTGACTTTCTCCTTTTTCCTGTTTCACCTTGGTTTTGCTCTGTAGAAAGGAAAACTAGAGGAAGTGAACTCCATTTTAGCCAGCCACGACAGCTACAAGCCACAGCTGTACAACGATGACTTGTGGGTTGAATTTATTGAGTTGGACATAGATGACCCTGATGAAAAGACCGAAGGATCCGATACAGACAGGCTCCTGAGTGATGCCCACATGAAGTCTCACAGCTGCCTTGGCGTGAAGGATGATGATTCTGGACGAGCCAGCTGTTGTGAACCAGATATGCCAGAGACTGACTTTAGTGCTAGCGACACGTGTGATGGCACCTCAGATACTGATCAGTCCAAAAAGATAAGTGAAAAAGAGGAGACTCTCTTGTGCCTTGATCAGAAAGATAATAATAAATCATTTACGAATCTAGATGACCCAGCAAACCAGCAACTTATTAGTCAGTCTGAAGATAACCAGTCAAGACCACCTTTTGCTGACAGTATTGAATCACTTAGCCCAGTTCCACCGGTCCGTACCCAGCTAAGCAACCAGAGCTCAGTGACAAATATTGACTTTTATGCACAGGTAAGTGACATTACGCCAGCAGGAAGTGTTGTACTTTCACCGGGGCAAAAAAATAAGACAGGGAGAGCACAGTGTGAGGCCCATACAGAACCAGCTGCACAGTGTCAATCGAACTTCACCATGGACAATGCCTATTTCTGCGAAGCAGATGTGAAAAAATGTATCGCTGTGACTTCTCATGAAGAGGTTGAGCCACATGTTCAGGATCAGAGCTTTAATGAGGACACTTACTTCACCACAGAGAGCCTTACCACTACGGCTGTGAATCCTAGCACAGCAGCAGAAGAAGCCTCAAGTTCCGAGATGCCTGTCCCAGACTATACCTCCATTCACATAGTACACTCTCCACAAGGCCTTGTGCTCAATGCTACAGCATTGCCTGTGCCAGACAAAGAATTTATGGTATCATGTGGCTACGTGAGCACAGACCAATTAAACAAAATCATGCCATAGCTTTTCTTTGACTATGTGCATATAATATGTATTTAATGGCATAGAGTTGGCTTGGGCTTGTATGCTTGAACCAAAAAAATGTTTAAATTTTTTTTGTGGTTCTTAAGCTTTTACCTGAAATGTTGAAGCATACACCATTAATCAAAATATTCTTCTTGTGTACTGTAAATATTATCTATGAATTGTCTCAAGAGACTGGTTAGTGGCAACAGCTGTCTTGTTATTGTGGGTGTTGATTTTTGTGAAACTGAGCATCAAATGACTATGTTAAATGTACAGTAAATCATACTTTTTGAAAAAGCTAAAATCAGTTGGTTTTTGAAGCTTAAGAATTTAATGTTAATTACACTACAAGCTGAGATCTTTATATTAATTAGGGTTGGGAAGTTGATTGGTCAAATATCAGTCAAAACTTGTAAAAAAATTGCCAATAGGTCCAAATAATACACAGAAAAAGCACAAATTTTCCATTAAGAAATGTATCAAAAACAATAAAGATCATATGTCTGTCAAGAAAACTATGAAAAAAGGGGGGAGGGAAGGGGGTGTTGTAAAAGTGCTATAATTTTTGACTGGTCAAAAAATATGCAGTCAATTGACTGGTCAATTGACAATATTTGACCAGTCAATTGACTGGCTTGCAAACCCCAATATTAATAATTGGGCACTGAAAATGTAAAATATAGATGAGAAAGTAAAATTAGTTTGAATAAATACAAATTTATTTTAGTTTATATAAATTAATAAGGATATTTTAATATTCTAGACATAAAGACATGAGTATTTTATATTATACTACACACTGTTGTTTAATTATAATGATCCATCTAAGGAATGTATTTGCTGCACTATTATAAGAGCTTGTTTCTGCTTTAGTCATTGCAGCAAAAAAGAAAAGATAGTTTTATACAGAGCCATTTTGTACCTCCAAAGAAACCTGTTGAGAAATTTAAAAAATATTATAGCAATGTACGTGAATTGATCGTATTAATTTCTTATGGTTATTATAAAAATATATTACATAAACTTAAATTTTGTAGGAAACTTTAAAATGTGCAAAACATTTGGGCAATTGAACCCATTCTTCACCAGATTCTGGTTAGTGCCAATAATACATTTTTATACTGCAGTAGACACTACAGTCATTTTTTGTTTACCAAGTTCTTTAAAGACCTGCACATACACTTTTATTGAATGGTTTTGAAGAAAACACTCTAAAAACATCAAAATCTCTTGACATGAGACCAAATTCTGAAGTTCTTACTCAGACAAAGCTATTGCTGATGTTGCTAATTTTTGCCTTTAGTAAATATTGAGTAAAAACTGAGAAAGAACCTCAGGATTTGGGCAGCAGTGCACCTCTGAGGTGGAACAGAATTAAAAGAAGTTAACAAAGAAACACGTTAAATACGGTATTGATTTAAAGTCTGTTTTCTTTTTTACAGCCTAGAGAGAGAGAATCTCTCTCAGTCACATTAGGGAGACTTTCAGCAAGCTGTGTAAGGAGAGAAAAGCAAAACTCAGTGGGAGAGCTTTCTTCATTTTTAAGTGTTTTAAGAAATTGAGAAAGCTTTGCAATTAATCATTATTTGCTTCAGAAGTTACCTTTATAGGCACATTTCATCTTAGCAGAAATATTTTTAGAAAGCAAATGTAACCAGGGACAGTATTTTTTTTTTTTTTTTAAACGAGAATAGCAATCTATGAGCCTAGTCGCACAGACCTTCCTCACACAAAGTTAATTCAGTGCAACTCTTCCTGTGACTAAGGACTGTAGGATTGGACCCTATGGTTGGATGAAATTTTTAAGTGTAGCATGTACTTTATGGTAAATGTGCATTAGACATTCTGCTAATTTGCTGCTACGTTTTTCTAACAGCTACGTTATTTAGGTTCATGTAAATTTTGATAAATGGTAAACACTAATGTAATTAACAGCTACGTATGTGTTTGGAAAAAGTCTCGTACTATATTTCTGTCACCAAAAATAGTTAAATACCTCAATCAATCTCAGAATGTTATTTTGGTACTTTGCTGGTCACACAAACCATTATACAGCCGTATGAAGAGTTGTGTCTTGCGGTTTCTATTTAACTTTCCATATGTCAGTGGGTTTTTTTTCTCTCAAAGTTTAATAAATTTATTTTCTTTGATTCACCTTGACACAGTGTGTTTTATTGTAGGAGCTTAAGATGTTAAAATGTTTCTGGGGTATTAAGACTTTAACCAATAAAAAGCAAGGGATTCCCATTAAATGGAGCAGAACACAGCCACAGTTGCTTGGAGTGGGAGAATTGCACTCTGTGTTCTCTGTGGTGGGTGTGTGCGTGCATGTGTGTGTGGCCACAAGCATATATAAATGCATATACACAAATGTATACATGTATATATGTAAATATGATGACGATTAAATATCATGCTATAACTTGAAGTTCCCTTTGGTATGTATGCCTTGTCAATGAAACTTACCTTTTTTGCAAGATATAAATTCTGTTAGTGCTTCCTATATTTTTAGCCAACAATACAACAGTATGGGAAAATCTTCATAAAAAAATGTGACCATTTGGGAAAGCTGTCTGGACAGCTTACATACTCCTGTTGATTATATGGATCTGTCGCCATGAAAATTTTGTATAATCAATGGATTTCATTTTCCGTACAATACTGTGTATTTGTCAGCCTCAGCTTAACAAGGAGAGCTGGAACAGGAGCCCAGTAAAGCAGAGAAAACCCTTCCTTTAGTCCTAAACATAGATTAAAACCCACCGACTCCCTATCACACCTACCTCATGCCTCGTAAACAATTAAACTAGAAGTCAAAAGGCTTACATGCCTGCAGCAGGCTTCAGATGGAGGGTTTGTCCAAGTTGTGGAGGGCATATCAGGTGACCGGGATGGACCCTAGGAAAAGGCACTAGGACTGTGACCTACAGCTTGCAGAAGAGAATGCCAGATGGAGGCTCTTCACCCAGAAATAAAACCTAAAGGTACCAAAATGAAGATAAAGCCTTGTCTGTGCTGAGACTTCATAAGCTTAAAACACCTGAGGATGAGTGGCCAGCAGAAGCTCAGGCTGCCAGACATGCCTATTTGACTATGGGCCTGATCCTTCTCCCTTTGAAGTTGTTGGTTGTTTTGCCATTGATTTCACTGAGATTAAAATCAGATTCTGTGATCACAAATCAAGGAGTTAGATGTGTAACTATTGAGATTATGTACCTGCAGCTCAATTATGGATGTTTAAAAATGTGGGTGCACTTCTTTAAGTAATGAGGTCAAAAGATGGATTTTACTGCTGCCAGATGATTATTTATATTCCTATTTTGTTTGGAAGAACACATCTGTAATCCCTGGAAAGAGCTCTGTGAATATTAAAATATCAGTTTTATTAGGTACTCTTATTCAAATTGAATCTTAGCCCCAAAGTAATATATGATTCACTGTATGAGTGACAGAATCAGTCTATTTTTAAGTGGTTGAGGAAAAGCAGGGCCAAACATACTAAAACTGTTTTTCCTTCCTGAGTTCTTCTGCATGTAAGCAATACCCTAAGATTATACAGAAAAGAGTGACTCTCCACAGAGAACAGCTGCAAAAAAACTGGTACAGAGTTTTGGACTAGATAGTTCAGCGTGCTGAGTATTTTGACACAATTGTTTTGACAGCAAAGATTAACTTTTGGATGTTTCCTACATTAAATAGCTTCAATAATTCAATATTTTTCATGAGTCTTTTTCCAAATGCGTAAAAGTCAGCCACTTAATGAAATGTTACCTGCCTGGATCCAGTGCAGACAGAAGAGAGAATTATGCTGTATTCAAAGATGCAGGACAGGTGGGTAAGAACAGAGCAAAATTCTCTTCCTTAAAACTAGCCAGGAGTGAAGGAACTATGTGAGACTGCAGAGGTCTACTGGCAGAGCAGAGTGGTAGTAAGTGAAAGTTGTGCGTTCTCCGTAGCTTGCTCTTGAAGCTAACAACAAAATTATGAAAGGATATCTGTTCAGTGGTTCTTTAAGCATAGGTAGTAAACCAGTTAACTGTATGCTTAGTCTATGCTACAAGGTGTACCAGCATACCAGTGTCAGGTAGGAATGTAAAAAGCCTGCAGCCCCAACCTGCCATAACAGAAGCAAAAGTTTGTAGGCTGGACTGCTAATCCATTTGTTTGCTCCTGCTTGCATATTTTTTCCAAAGACTTAGACTTCAGTCAAAAAGTCTTTTTGACAAGCCAAGGAACTAAAATGGCTCCTCAGGATCAAGTGAAATATTGCTTTTCTCACTGAGAACTCCAGGTGCCCACAGACTCAGTGTGTTCCTTTCCCTCCACTGTGGGCATGTCTACACATTCATTAATGCACCTTAGTTACTGCACATTAAGTTTAATACTTGTATAAACAAGTACTAAATGAATGCGCAGTGACTAGCATTACTGTGCAGTAGCACCGGCACACACCTTTTTAGTGACGCTACTGAGCAGTATCCTAATACTATTGCGCAGTAGTGTATTAGCACTGTTTGTGCTATGACATGCTAGTGCAGAGTATTATTAGGCTTCTAAATAGTTAGCATCTTGTGTAGACACACCCTGGGTAACTAATCTTCTCTTAGCACGAAGTAAACACTGATGTTACAATTATGTGGCAGAATATCAGAATCGTGCCAGATTGATGCATTAGAAGAAGGTGGAGTCTGTAAACTATTGGGTTCCTATCCCTACTCCCAATCACTTTCTATACTTACCTTAATATAAATTGAAGTCAAGTAACAAGTTGTACTTGTTGATTCATTTTAATTCAAAGGCATGGGTACAGGCACTAAAAAGACTGTGATATTTACATTTGTAGGAAAGTTTTTGAGCCTAAATTAATCATTCTTATTGTAGGGAGATAGAATGATATATATTTTAATAGTCTTCACTTGCTTTATACTCCCACCCACTTGCTTAGTTCATTCTGGCTCACAAAACATTGCTGCTGAGTTTACAGGAATGTGCCATTAATACAAGCAGTGTCAGAAACATAGTTCATGGTCTACTTCTTCCTTACCAATAACCCATTACAAATAATGAGACACACATTTTGGTAGGTATTGTAATGCCACTGAATTCAGCCCATCCATTTTCAATCTACTAATATTTCACTTTTTGTATTACTGGAGCTGAAAAAGAAGGATTAGGTCATCTTTCACAAGGCAAAAAGAACACGAGTAAGAGGAAAACTTGCAGAGTTGGAACAGAATGCTTTTTAAACATAGCGAACATAAATCAGCTATGTGCTGAAATTTTTCTTTTTTGTGTGATGAATCTAATTAAAAAGATAGATTCTCACACCTCATCTTCTGTTCTTATTTCTTTTTTTCCAAAATCTATTCATCTTTAGATTAAAGGGACAAATATAGATCATGGTAACATTCAGGCAGCTTTTCACTGAGGCGTTCTGATAAATGTTTTTTTTCATGTATATATGCACACACGAATGTTTTCCTCTTCAGGTAAATGTACATATGAAACAAGATGGTGAACAAAAATGAAACAGATGCGCAATGAAAGAACACAATTTATCACACAAAAATACAATGGGCCAAATGCTGTGCTGATTTATAAGAGTTTGCCAGTGCAAAGTATAGAGTCCCAAATATTTTCTGGAGCTGCACTTCTTTTGTTTTCATAATGTGTTAAATCACCTATTGCAGATCCTACTTTGTTATATAAATATTTTGGATGAAGTTAAAATCTAAGGAGACATTTTCAGTATTTCAATATTCTGTTTCACATGTGGTTAAAGCAAATAGTCATATTTACTCTTCTTGCAGACTTTCATTTTGGTAAATACTGTATATATTTTAACTTTTATTGAAGCATTTTTCTGGAATGATAAAATGGGGAGAGAAACAATAATAACAACGTTCACATCCAGGCTCTTTCCTGATTCAAAGGAATTTCAAATGTTAACTATGGTGTTGTATTTGATATAATTGGAACTGAAAACATGCTTGGGGATGCCACCTCATATTCCTCTATGATTGAGTTGTTTCTCTGGTACAGTTGTTTGTAGTCCTATTAAGGTCCAATTGTTAAAGGCCTTTAAAGGTAAGACTAGTGCAAAAGGCAACTGTATGAGCAGAAAATATCACTACATTTCCCCAGTCTTTAATACCCTTTGACTTAGGCCATAAGAGGTCTTTTTTCCTGAGACAGATAACAAAGAACACAACAATGATCTTAGATACTTTTCATAGGTTGTGAGTGTAATGCCACAACATACACTTCTCTAGCATGTGTTAGATTAGTTGGATTTTATCATCCTTTTTTCACTAGTGCACTAAAATACTTACTTTTCAGATCATACATTTTTTTATTGACCAGAAAGTAGCTTGACATGCCTTACCATAATAATTCTTATCCATTTTACTGGATAATTTCATTTTATGTGACCTTGGGTGCATCTACACAAGACATTTAACTGCACAGTAGTGTAATTTACTGCACAATAAGTGTGCTCATGTACATGTGCGCATGCTTACTGGACAGTAAAAATGCTTAATTGCAAGTAAGTGTGCTACCTGCAAATTTATTTGCAATTAGTTACTGAGCAGTTACGCACATGTAGACGTTATCCAGGAGCAAGTATGCTCCCAGGTCAGCCCTGCCACTAGGGACCTGGCCAGAGGTCAGCCTCAGGGCTCCAGGCCGGGATCCTTTCCTTCCGTAGGGCTGGGCTGCCTCTATGGCAGCCCCTGCCTCAGGCCTTTAAAAGCCTGCAGGCACTCAGAGCCCTGAGGTGCACCACCAGGGAGCCTGAGACCATTCCAGGTCCCTGTGTCCCCCCCGGGCAGGCCATAGGCCAGCTGCCCTAGCCTGCCTGCATCCTAGTGCCACTGCCTGGCAGTGCACCGTTGCGCAGCTGCCATACCCACACTGTCCAGGTCTGCAGGCTGTTCTAGACTGCTGCAGGCTCCAGCCAGGCCAGCCAGGCCCAAGTGCACCTGCCCTCAGCCCACCCGCAGCAGCCTGACCCAAGCTCGCAGGTGCATTGCAGGGCATTGCCTCTGCCACACAGCTGCCAGTCCCATACTGCACCCCTGCGCTGGGTGCTGCAGGCAACTGCCCGGGCCCAGCAGCACATGGACAGCCATGTGGGGGCCCAAAAAGT